CTGGATGAGAACAACTTTTGGGAAAGCAAGCCTATGTGAAATTCATTGGAAATGTCAGGTCAACTTATATCTTTGTGGGAAAATTCTTCTTCTACCAGTCCTTCATCACCTTAAACAGAATAGGGTGAATACATCTCATATTACTGATTTGCTGGTACTTATGAAAACAATACTTAATGCTTTTATTTTGTTTACTTGAAGTGAATTTTAGCCAAAACTGTGTGATTATTATATTTTTTGAAACCCGAATATGGCCAATTTTCATGGACATTAGTTTAGTGGTCTCAATGTATATTGACAGATCACATAGTTCGCAAATGTGAAAAGGCGTTTCAAAAATGCATGCATTTCCTTTTATAGGGTGGTTAAAAACGTGATCCGCAAATTGCCTTCGTCGAAAACCGAAAGAGGATTACGTTTTATAGTAGGATTTAGACACTATCAATTTGTCGTTTAAGGTGACAAATTTTCACACAATGCGATGATTTAGCTTCAGAGTGTCAATCACTTTGACCCATTTGGCAGACGTGGCCGTCTGACGTAATGATACCGTGTCGAAAACACACGCAGCACCACCCAGTTCCGAATCTCGCTGGGGGTCGAAACTGGAATTCACACTAGCCGGGATGAGAATGCCATTTGGGAAGCAAGTTAATGTGAAATTCAATAGCATCATGGGACGTACTCATTAAATATGTGGAAAATTCAACGAACCAGCGTGAATAAAGGAGGATTCCCTTCGACCTGTTGTGCCTATGGCATTGTGCAAAATGTTATGCAACCTTCGTCTGTTTCATTGTGACTACTACCATCCTACTTACTCAGTATACCAAATTTTCTCATGCTTTGATTGTCTACTTCTTGTTACTACTTACAAGCTTGAGAAGATTTTCTTTATGATGATAGTACTTTCTTAGCGCAACTAAAGTGGAGATTAACCCTACAGTGCATAAGCGTATTATTGCAAGTGTGTTGAATGTATGCAATTGTGAGCAGAATTTGGCTTATTCAAGCCTCTTCCAACTCACCAGTTCCTTTAAACCTATTGTTCAAATGAAATGCCTATTCTGGCTGGGCTGTATGTGCGCTTGTGCGAATAAATGAAATCAAACTGATTGTCCTGCGTGATCAGAACATGGTACAATCTTGTCTTTTAAGGCATCCCAGTCTGAATGTCCTTTTCGTTTGTAGCCATGCTGACGGACCAAGGCGATACGCAATGACTGGCAGTCGTTTGGCCGAGTTACCGATTTGGGAGGCGGTAGCCAAAAGGGCTGAAACACATTTTAATGTGGCCTCTGGTTGGGTCAGCATCTACATTCAGCTTGGTAGATTTGTCGTGCTGTTGGGGCGTACGGGGGGAGGCGTGAAGAGAACAGCCTATTCGGAACACTTGTAGAGCGGATAAGAGTTTTGAGGTCACAAGCTGTCCCCGAGAGAGAATTGGTGGGAGAATGTCGCATGAGAGGAGAAGAGCTGCCACAACGGTTGAACATGAACGTGCACAAATGAAATGCTGTAGCTCGCTTCAAGGATAGACAAGTCTTTTTGATGAGGTTGACTGGAAAGGCGTCGAGACATCGGGAAAGGTACCGATTCCGCAGCCCGACTTTGTCACTATTTAGCATGACTACGATGAAATTGCGAAAACTAGATTAAACAAATTCCATTCAGAATAAGTATTATTTGAGATGAAACTTCCAGCATCTGTTGCAGCCCTAGTTGGTAACATTTCCGATGCTCCGAAATGTGCTCGCAGAAGGGAGGGACCTAGTTCGAACAAACAAAGGATACCATATCCTCAGACTTGACGGCCGATTAATCCTTGCTTCTTCCGGTGGTCTCACTCTGTCCTGACGACCCGATTGGCCCGCGGATTGAGGGATGAAATG